ATCATTCATGGACTCTGGATTTTTATGGGAAATTTAACTCTTAATTCATATTGCCGGTTTGTCGAGAATCCGAGTAACAATTTAGAAATAAATCACTTGGATTTAATTGAATTGAATTTCATTATTAACCTCCGGCACGAGATACGAATCAAATGTTCTAATTTTCAATTTCTCGTGAATCGATTCAAAAGGATTCGAAGTACAAAAATGTGTAGAATATCAAAAGTAGAATTCTTGCTACAACATTTAAGAAGACGAAGTTTCTGTTTAGACGACATCGATTGTGTTGATCAAAGTTTTATTTCGATCTAATTATTCGATCGTTCTCGAGTTTATAGATTAGAACCTTAAACCTCGCTTAATATTCCTACTCTTACGCTGCGAAATTTGTCGAAACTCTTTCTCTAAACTTCAGTTTCTTCAGAGGCAACCGTCTTCAGAGGCTAAAGTTTTTATCGAACAAATTAACCCAAGATTAACGATCGAAATTTTGCCTAAAGTACTTTGGTGAAAGTTTCACGTTGTCTGAAATTTTGCTGAATCTTGATCGCGAAGGCAACGAGTTCCTCAATGGAGGGGATATGAAGGAAACGACTGCCGCAATTATATTTACAATGCAGTTACACTCTACAGCGGACGAAGAGATAAGATTTTAGAAGACCTTGGGTCGCGAAGACCTGACAATTCGTCGAACGTGGAAACATCAAATCTGAGAAAATGATCTCCTGGCGAGAGAATCCCGCGTCAGAGTGTGTGCGCCGAAGCTGCCCGAAAGCTTTCAGTCTCAAAGTAACGGAACGACTTTGGACGAGCCGTAATTAATCTCCTTGGGAACCGGAAACTTGCGTTCTCACGGCGTGATGAAACATTCGAAAACATTCGGCCCGCCAACGTTTGTAGCGAGAAACGTTTACGAACGTTTGCGTAAAAATGTTGGACGTGACGGAACGCGAAAGAATGGCACGTCAAAGTGTTGATCTCGAAGATACGCGATCGCGAGGTATAAAAGCCTTTGGTTGGAAGGTAGCGAAAAGACTTTTAACGGACGAACCGTAATTAATCTCCATGGGAACCGGAAGCTTGCATTCCCATGGTAACCGTAACACCACGCGCAATTCCGCAACTGGCTGCTCCTTAATCGGTTCGTATACACACACACACACACACACACA